CCCCGCCCCTCCGCCCCGCCTCTTCAGCTCAGCCAGGCCCCATCTGCCCCAGCGGCGCGCGGTGCACCTGCCAGCGTGGTTTCCTTAGCGCAGCACGTATATGGTGATGGAGTACTGCGTGTGTGGCATGCAGGAGATGCTGGACAGCGTGCCCGAGAAGCGCTTCCCGGTGTGCCAGGCGCATGGGTGAGCACCGGGCGGCCGGGCTGCAGGACGAGGCGCTGGCTCCGGGCCTTCCTGGCACGGTCACCAGGCGATGGGTGGGCTGGGGCTCTGTGGGCCCAGATGTGGGCCGGCCCTCGCCTGGTGGCCCGGTGGGCTGCCTTGGCAGGCCTTCCTCACGTCTGGTGTCCTGGACCCACGTGGTTCCTCACGGTGGCCCCTTCGCTCTGAGGCTGCTGGCTAGGGGCCAGGCAGCAGCAGAGGGCGTGTGCGCAGGCCCGGCCCTGCCCGACGTTCGTGGCGTGGCCCACAGGTACTTCTGCCAGCTGGTGGACGGCCTGGAGTACCTGCACAGCCAGGGCATCGTGCACAAGGACATCAAGCCCGGGAACCTGCTGCTCACCACCGGGGGCACCCTCAAGATCTCCGACCTGGGCGTGGCTGAGGTAGGCCCCGCCCTGCGCCCTGGGGCCCCTGCGCCCAGGCGCCCCCCTGAGGGCCGTGTGCCACCCCGCAGGCGCTGCACCCACTGGCTGCCGCGTCCCAGCCAGGTCTCCCCGGCCTTCCAGCCGCCCGAGATCGCCAATGGCCTGGACACCTTCTCGGGCTTCAAGGTGGACATCTGGTCGGCTGGGGTCACGCTGTAAGTGCCCGCCAAGCTCCACCCACTCCTTGGGCCCCCATAGGTGTGGCATGCCGGCCGGCCAGAACTCCAGATGCCGCCGCAGGTGGGCGCTGTGCCCCGCTCTGTTGAGGAGCATCCTCCTCCGCGCCTGCCCGAGCCCAGGTTTTCGCCTCCAAAAGGAAGCCCCGTGGGGCAGGGGGGCAGGGCTCCCCGCCTGGCCACCGTGGGTGCGAGCTCTGGCCGCTGTGCCCACATGCTGGTGGCCGGCCTGGGGCTCCCCGGGCACTGGGCCACGTATAACCACGCGTCTCTCCCTCGGCCACAACGAAGCTACAACATCACGACGGGCCTGTACCCCTTCGAAGGGGACAACATCTACAAGCTGTTCGAGAACATCGGGAGAGGCGACTACACCATCCCCGGGGACTGCGGCCCCCCGCTCTCCGACCTGCTGCGAGGTGGGCCTGAGCTGGGGCCACCAACCCTGCAAGCCCTCGGCATCTCTGTGACCTGCTGGGGGCCGGGCTGCCCCTCCTGTTCCAGACCCCAGACCCGAGGCAGCCCCCTCCTGTGCAGGTCTGCCGGGCTCTGCCTGCTGCTGTCCCCTGGCGGGCAGCCGGTGACACTGGCCGGTCAGCTGCCCTTGGCCTTGCCAGGAGGCCAGCGGGTGGGGTGTGCCCCCCAGGGCGGGCTGTGCCTGGCTGTCCCCCAGCTGGAAGGGCCAGGCCTCTGGTGCCAGCCTGACACAGCACTTCCCCCAGGAATGCTGGAGTACGAGCCCGCCAAGAGATTCTCCATACGGCAGATCAGGCAGCACAGGTGAGCCGGCCCGGCTGCCCTCGGGAGTTGGTGGGCAGCCGGGTCCCGGGAGGGACGCAGCCAGGACCGCAGCTCTCAGCTCGCAGGGCCAGCACCTGGGGCTCGGTACAGGGAGCAGGTATCTGACCCTGCCACAGGGATGGGGGCAGGCCCCAGGCCGCTCTGCTGCCTTCGTCCTGGGCACTACCACCACCTCCCCGTCTCTGTGAGCCAGGACAGCTGGGATCAGCTCCAAGTGCAGGCGGCAGGGCCGGAAGGGCAGCCGCTGCCCTACTCCTGCCTGTGGGCTCCAAGCTGAGCCAGTCAGGGCTGGCGGGGGGAGGGAGCCCCTTCTGGGGTGGCCCCTGGCCCCTAGCTGAGGCTGTGGCCTGGCCTGGCCTGGCAGTGTGTCTGGAGGGATGTGCAGGGCTGTCCACACCGTCGCCCACAGGTTCTCGCCCTCTTGCCAGCCAAGCTGGCCAGTGCAGAGGGAGCCTCGCTCCTGCTCCTTTCCTGAAGGCCACGACTGCTGAGCAGCTGTCGGCCGGCGGGGGGGGCCTCTTAGTCGTCCCATCCGACTTCAAGCCGGACCTCTGGCATAGCTACCCCCATCCCTGCAGGTTCTGACCTGTCCCCGCTGTCCCCAGGGGCTGGAGCAGCAGGGCGCATCCTGGACTGCTCGGCTCGTAGGCCCGCCTGTTGTGGCCCTGGTAGGACCCGGCCAGCGGAGGGCATCTTTGGGGCTGGCCACAGCCACCCCTGGGCAGGGCGGCCTGGTCTTGCCGCTGTTGGTCATGGCTGCGGGCAACTGGGCGGACCCCTCCTGAGGGCCGGCACTCTGGCCTCTGCAGCTGGTTCCGGAAGAAACACCCGCCGGCCGAGGCGCCGGTGCCCATTCCACCGAGCCCCGACACGAGGGACCGGTGGCGCAGCATGACGGTGGTGCCCTACCTGGAGGACCTGCATGGCGCAGCCGGCGAGGACGGGGATGGGGACGAGGACCTCTTTGACATCGAGGACGACATCATCTACACTCAGGACTTCACGGTGCCCGGTGAGTCCCGGCGCCCGCCATGTGCATGGTGTCGCTCACCGCCTCGGCCTGGACGTCCTGGAGTGCCGCTGCCCACCCGACGGCCTGTGCCCCGGGGCCTGGGGGCTGGGACGGCTGCTCTGGCCGGCCCCGCGTCATCTCTGCTGAGCTGCCGCGCCTCCACCCTCCCAGCCCACCTTCCCACAGAAGCAGGTGGGAGACCTGGGCTGTGCGAGTGGGTCGTCTCGCCGGCGGCTGGCCAGGAGAGGGTCCGTTGGCCCTCGGCCCGCCCTACCTGCCGCCCTGACCCGCCCACCCTTACTCCCCCAGGTGGCGAGGAAGCTTCTGAGGCAGGGCTTAGCGAGGACCCAGGCAGCCCCGCCCCACCCCGTCCCGCCCCACCCCGTGCTCCCATAAAGCCTCCTGCTGTGTCTGTGGGCACATGCTTGCCGCGCCGCCCCTTCTCCTTAGAGGCTTTCTGTTTCTAGGCATGGTGGCCCAGGGTCCTCTCCCAGGCTGAGCCCAGACCCTCACCTTGGCAGGTCGGCGGGGTGGGGATGGGGACGGCCCCTGGGCCAGGGCAGTGTCCCACGTGGAGGCACCCGAGGCAGAGCAGACTGCATCCCAGAGGTCCTGGCCCTGGCCCTCTGCCCACGGCCTCTTGCAGGTCCTGGTGTGCCCACCGGCAGGGCACGTGCCCCGCGAGGCTCCTGGGTAGTGGGAAAGAGCAGTCCAGGGAGCGTGAGGCCTGGTCAGTGGGGCCCCAGGGAGGGCCTCAGAGTCACGAGGGGGGCGTGCTCGCTCTTGTCAGCTGGGTGCCTGCAGGGAGACCCTGCGGGCCTGTGCAAGCCCTAAGCCGTTCCAGCAGGAGGGCGAGGTCATCCCCATTGACCCAGCGAGGCTGGCAGGAGGGATGGCCTGGACGCATGGTGGGTCCTTCCCTGCTGCCATGCCTGAGGCATGACGCTGGGCACGTAGGCAGACCCCAGCGTCGCGGCAGCCCGCACCTGCCAGGTGTGGGCAGTGTATGGTGTGGGCGTGGCCCCTGCCCTGGGGCTTCCGGCACCCTCCGAGGTGGTTGTGGTACCAGGTGTCAGTGAGCAGGGCCCAGGCCGTGGCTGGCCCACGTGCAGTGGAGCCATGAGCTTTGGGAGCCCGGACCCCAGTGGTGCCTGTGTCAAGACCTGGGGCTGCTGGGTCAGGTTCTGACCTTGGGGAGAAGGGCCTTGGTGGGTGCACAGGCTCTAGGGACAGCAGGGCCAGCTCAGGGCAGGGGAAGCAAGCAGCCGGGTATGGCCGCTGCCCCGTCCACACCCCTCTGCTGTGAGGGTGGGCCTCAGCTACCCCTTCAGCCCACGCCACCCTGTATGGGACCTCACACACCTGTCCTGCAACCTCATGGGCTCCCCGCTGCCCTGGGAGCAGGACCTGGGGGTCGTGTGGGGCAGTGAGGGCCCCTCCTTGCAGACCCCCAGCTCAGTCCGGAGCAGAGCGGGTGGGTGAGCTGGGCGGGGCTCAGCACTCTCCCAATGCCTGGACTTTGCCTACAGACCAGACTACAGGCCGGTCCCGCCTGGGGCCAAGGCAGGTGCATGGACACGGGTGGGGGAGGCCCCTCCCACCTGGCCGTCTCAGGGTCCCCCAAGCCTCTGGGAGGTGGCATTGGTTCCGGGGGGACCCGATCCTTTGCTCAGGCTGCACTCTGTCTCCTAGGACAGGTCCCAGAAGAGGAGGCCAGTCAGAACGGACAGAGCCGGGCCCTGCCCAAGGCTGTGTGCGTGAATGGCACGGAGCCGGCACCGCTGAGCACCAAAGCCAAGACGGAGGGCAGGCCCGGCACCAGCGCCGCCCGCAAGGCCTGCGCCACCAGCAGCAAGACCCGCCGGCTGTCGGCCTGCAAGCAGCAGTGAGGGTGGCCCTGCAGGTGCGGCCCTCAGGGCACTGGGGCCTGGCCAGGGCCGGCGCCACCGCCACTGCAGCCACTGCACCGGTCCAGTGTATGCGGGTCCTGCTGGCCACGGGTCTGGGTGGCGGTGTGCGGCAGCACCGCCTGTGTGGTGGCCGTGGTTGAGACATGGCAGAGAGGTTGCTTCCCCCATGCCAGCTACTGCATCTGCGGGCCACGCCGGGCCGGATGCAGCCTGTGGGGCACTGCGTGGCGGGTGGCGGGGAGGGTTGGTGCGGCCTTGAGGGCTCTGCCTGGCCGCTGTGCTCTAAGCCCTGCAGGTCAGGTCCCCTGCAGAGGGTCCAGCTAGCTGGACTCAGAGCCACTGTCTGAGCTGTGTCCCCATGCTCAGTGGCCAGCCTGAGCTGGTTGGAAGGATGGAGGCCGGCCAGACTGGGTCTGCCCTGAGGATTGACTCCAGTGGTCTTCCCTGGCCACAGATGCCCCACTGTGTGGCTGGGCCTATAGGTGAGGCCCACCTCGGGCCAGGAGGGTCCCGGCGCCCAGGTTGACCCTCTGCCTCCTGCGCCCAGCCTGCCTCCAGGTGCATGGCCCAGGCCCTCAGTCTTCCTGCCGACTCCTGGCTGCCACCCACTGGGGACGGTGGCCACCATGCCTGTGTGCTGACCACCCCACAGGAGTTAGGATCATCCGGAGGGCCGGGCAGGGACAGCAGGGGCCGGGCACCGCCCACACACAGCACGGACGGTGGACGCAGCTTGCTGCCATGCAGTTCCCTGCGGGCCGTGGCCGTGGCCGGGGGCAGGGAGAGGGCCCGGCCTTCCCATGCACTTTACGTTTAGACTACTGGCCCTGCCCTCGCGGCGCTGGCCCTCGCCGTGTGGTGCTCTGCCACCTGGAGGGCCTCCCGCACCCACCCCAGTGGCCAGGCAGCGCCGACCCACTCGCCCAGTGTGGAGACAGCGCCAGCCCCATGCATGCGGGCACCAGGGGAGCCACACGGCTGCCTCTTTTTACCATTCAGCTGGTTCCTTTCTCCTGATCTTTTTTTTTTTTTTTCAATTTTTAAGAAAAAAATAAAACAGGTGGATTTGAGCTGTGGTTGTGAGGGGTGCTTGGGAACTGTTGGGTGGCAGGCCACGCCCCTGCCTGGTGTCCTCTGGCAGCCCTGGGCCCTGTGCTCTCCCGGTAGCCGCCAGCCCCCGCCTGGGTCCCCAGAGAAGGCCAGAGCAGGCAGGAGTGTGCAGTGAGTTTTATAGTCGACCAGAGACGGCAGAGTGTGCTGGGGTGGCGGGCGGGCAGCCGGGGCTGCCCCTCCTTTGGCAATAAATAAAGCTTGGGGAACTGGAAGCCGTGGCCTGGTTTGTTCACGTCGGCCACGACAGTCCTGCCGGCGGCGGCACCTTCGGACAGCGCAGTTCATGCGAGGGCGAGCGTGGGGAAGGGCAGACGCCCGGCGGTTGGCGGCGGTTATTGCTGGAGGGCGCGGGCGGCCTCGGGCACTCGCGGTGAGGTAAACGTTGGCAGCAGCGGCCTCGAGCCCGCGTGCCCGGACTGTGAGCACATGGCGCCGCGCCCCTGCCGTGAGCCACTCCCAGGCTCCGGGCCAAAACGGCCCTGCACATGCGCCTTGTGCTGCCGACCTTCCGTGTCCCGGGCCGGCGTGATGCGCGCATGCCACCGTTTTCTAGGGCCAAGGGCGGCTAGACGAGTCCCGGGGGCGCAGATGGGCGTCGGACACTCCCTTGGCGAGCCTGGGTGCTCGGGTCTTGCGCTTGGAGGGGCTGTGCGCGTGCGCGCCAGGGGTGGCGCCGACCGTGAGTAGAGCCCCCAGGCCTCTCCCGCTGCCGAGGCCGCGCTGACTGAGCAGCATAGGTGATCTCGGGGCGCGGGGCTTAGACCGGGCTGTGGTCGGGGGACGTGGGCGCAGCAGCGACCAGCGCAGGGGCCGCGACCACGGGCTCGGCCAGGCGCGGCGGGAAGAGTCTCTCTTCCAGGCCGGCCCCCAGCTT